GCCCGTGGGTTCGAGACCCGCCTGGGCAACTTGGCGAGACCTCATCTCTACAAAAAAAAATTAACTGGGCATGGTAGCGCGTGCCTGTAGTTCCAGCTTCTTGGAAGACTAAGGTGGAAGGATCACCGGAGCCCAGCAGGTGGAGGCTGCGGTGACCGGGAGCGGCCACTGCACTCCAGTCTGGGTGACAGAGTGAGACTCCAACTCAAAAAAAAAAAAAAGAGAGAGAAAATCTGAATCCCACAAGCTTCTAGGTTTATCTATCAACTGACAGGAAACATAGAGGCCGAAGAATATATTACACCACAGGGATTCAATCAGCAAAATCCAGACCATAAGAAACCCCACAAGGTAAACAACCTATTTCTTCAACAAATAAACTGTGAGATAAAAGTAGATAGATAGAAGGTCAGACATGGTGGCTCATACCTATAATCCTAGCACTTTGGGAGACTGAGGTGAGAGGACTGCCTGAGCCCACAGGTTCGAGACGAGCCTGGGCAACTTGGTGAGACCTCATCTCTACAGTAAATCAAAAAAATTAGCTGGGCATGTTGGTGCATGCCCGTGGTTCCAGCTACTTGGAAGGCTGAAACAAAGGATCACCCGAGCCCAGCAGGTCAAGGCTGTGGTGGCCGTCAGCGTGCCACTGCACTCTGGTCTGGGTGATAGAGTGAGATTCCAACTCAAAAAAAAAAGAAAAACAAATAGAAAGATAGACAGACAGACTTAAAAGACATATCAACCAGTCACAACGTGTGGAACTTATTTGGATCCTAATTCCAGCACACATACTACTGAGTGCATTTGATGAATTTTAAGAATTATTGTTAATTTAATTTTTTGGTGTGATAATGGCTTTTAAAGGTGTTTGTATTTTGTAAGAAACATACTTAAAAATTTAAAGATGAAATTATGTAATATCTCGGGTTTGCTTCAGAATAATATACATGGAGGAAGTAGGTGGGAACACAGATCAAACAAGACTGGCCATGAGTAGATCAATGTTAAAGCAGGTGATGGGTACATGAGGGGTTTGTAATATTATTATTTTTTGGCATATGTTTGAAATTCTCCATAACAAAACTAGTTGGATTTTGTTTTGTTTTGTATTATTGGGGGGAGAAATCAGTAAAGCCCAAGGCCCAGAAGGCCAGAGAGAAAAACAGAGGGGAAGAAACAGAGACCCTGCAGGCTCCTCACTCACATGCACATAGCGCCTCACGTCCTCCTGGTAGAGCAGAAAGGAAAGCAAAGCCCCCCTGGTGAGCTTCCCAGCGAGGATCTGCTGCAGCCCACAGCTTAGCATCAGCACCTGCACTCCCAAGTGCAGTACCTGTGGGGGAGAAAGAGAGGAGGCTAGCAAAGAGTCTTCCCATTCTTCCCCTCACCCATTCCACCCCTATGAGATTGAGTTGCAAGGGACCCCAGAACCAACCACAGGTGCCCCATCTCTTTCCCTCCCCCCTTCCCAGTCCTTCCCCAAGCCACCCAGCCATCTCACCCTCTGTAAGAGCAGGTACAGAGCTCGTTCCAGGTCTCGTCGCCACCTCAGCTGCCGGCATCGTTCAAGGGCCTCTTGATAGCGACAGACTTCATCCTCCTCAGCCCCAAAACTGCGCACGGTCTGCAGTCCTCCTACAGCCTCCCGCACCACCTGCCCTGCTGTCGCCACTGCATTCTGGATCTCTCGGAGCACTGCCTGTAAGAGGGGACAGAAAATACACAGGGTTGATGCAGCAGAAAATAGGCCCCTACATCTCCTTCCAATCCTTGGGATGCTCCAATCTACCTAAAAATACCATACTGTTCTCTTTCCATCTTCTTTACTTTTCTTTGCAAAAAGGATAAAAGAGTGAAGGAGGGAGCGAACAAAATATTACTGAGCCCTCAGTGTTAAACAATGTAGCAGATACATGCTATTTTTTTAACCTTCACTTGAGGAAATTCCTCCACCCTCAGTATCTGAATGAGGAAGGAGGAGTAATTTTCCCAAGGGACCACAGAGAGTTAAGAAAGGTAAAGAGGTAATTCAAAATAGATCAAAGACATAAACATAAAAGCTAACACTGTAAAAGGAAAATGTAGGAAAAAGTTTCGTGACACTAGATTTGGCAATTATTTCTTGGATATGACACTAAAAGTGCAGGCAACAAAAAAATAGATAAATCAGACTTCATCACCAAAAACTTTTGTACATCAAAGAACTCTCTCAACAGAGTGAAAAGGCAGCCACGGGATGCAAGAAAATACTTGCAAAGCCTGTATCTGAGAAGGGGCCAGTATCCAGAATATATAAAGAATTCCTATAACTCAATGACAACCAAGGGAAAAAAGCAATTAAAAATAGACAAAGAACTTGAATATACATTCCTTCAAAAAAGACCAAGAAATGGCCAAAAAAAACCTCATGAAAAGATGCTCAACATTGCAAACCATTAGAGAAATGCAGATCAAAACAATGAGATACCACATCATGACCATGAGGATAGCAATTTTTTTTAAATGACAGCAGCAGAAAACAATAGCAAGTGTTGACAAGGATGTAGCAAAACTGGAAACCTTATGCACTGCTATTGTAAATGCAAAATGGTGCAGCTGTTATGGAAAATAGAATGGTGGTTCCTTAAAAAAATAAAAATAGAATGATCATATGATCCAGCAATTCCACTTCTTGGCAAACCCAAAAGAATTGAAAGCAGAATCTTGAGTAGATGTTTGGATACCCACATTCATAGCAGCATTATTCACAACACTCAAAAGGTAGACACAATTCAAATGTCCATCAATGAATGAATGAATGGATAAGCAAAATAGAGTATATGCACACAAGGGAATATTATGCAACCTTAAAAGGAAGGAATTCTGACACACGCTACAGCTTGGATGAACCCTGAAGACATGCTGAGTGAAGTAAGCCAGTGACAAAAAAGACAAATACCATATGATTCCATTATGTGTGGTACCTACAGTATTCACATTAATAGAGACAGAAGGGAGAATTGTGGTTCCAGGGGCTGGGGGGGAGGCAGCGGGAAGTCACCGTCTAATGGGTACAGAGTTTCATTTCAGGAAGACAGAAAAAGTTCTGGAGATGGATGGTAATGACTATACAACAATGTGAGTCTACTTAGTGCCACAAGTGAACTGCACACTTAAAATGGCCAAAATGGTAATTCTTATGTTCTACCACAATAAAGGAGAAGGTAGAGCTGACATTCAGACTCAGGACTGCTTGAGTGCATGTCCTTTTTTCCCTATACTCCCCTCAAATTCCTTCTGCTGATTTATTTTATTTTACATTTCATTTCAATCAGGGTCTCACTCTGTCACTCAGGCTGGAGGGCAGTGGCAAGAACACAATTCAAGCAGCCTCAAACTCCTAAGCTCAAGCAATCCTCCTGCCTCAGACTCCTGAGTAGCCAGGACTCCAAGCACATGCCACCACAACCAGCTAACTCTTTGATTTTTTAATAGAGGTGAGGGCTTGCTATGTTGGCCAGGCCAGCATGATTCTCCCACCTCAGCCTCCCAAAGTGCTGAGATTACAGGCATGAGCCACCATGCCCAACCTACTTCTACTGATTTTTAAAGAGAAAAACTATCTACCTAAAACCCTCTAAGATATATTTTTTTCTTAGTTGGAGTCTCACTCTGGTGCCCAGGCTGCACAGTGGCATGCCCACGGCCACCCCAGAGTTGACCTGCTAGGCTCAAGCAATCCTTCCACCTCAGTCTTCCAAGTAGCTGGAACTCCAGGCATATGCTACCACGTTCAGCTAATTTATTGATTTATTGTAGAGATGAGGTCTCGCCAAGTTGCCCAGGTGGGTCTCAAACCCGTGGGCTCAGGCAATCCACTCACACCAGCCTCCCAAAGCGCGCAATTAGAGGCTGAGCCACCGAGCCCGGCTAGAAGTAACTATTTTTAAGCACTGATAATTATAAGGAAATAACTAAATGCTCATTCTGCCTTTCCTGATCAAACTGTACCCCCGAATAACCAAATAGTAGATGAGAGGAGGTCTCCCTTCATAGATGTATTCCAGTCAATAAATGAAGGAATGATAGAATATCACTATTTTGCAGCCCTACTAATTTAATGGGTCTAGACATTGCACATCAATGAATTATAGTGCCACAAAAAGAGAGCCAGGTAATGTGTGCCTCCTGGAGGAAAAACATACCACCAGCTAGGAAGTACTCTTATCAAAAAAAAAAAAAAAAATG